AGAGTGACCTTTCATAGGAACATTGGAAAACAGGAGCAGTTGGAGACCATTCAGCCCATCAAGCTTTTTCCACCAAGTTATTAGGTCTTGACAGATCTTTTGATCCCAATGCACTGCCCTTGAACCAGATTTCTTTTGATAGAACTTTACAGGATAGCAACTTACCTAAATCAGTATCCTTGAATTATTATTTTATTACTATTATAATAATTATTATTAAAATTAAAATTTAATTAAAATTAAATTAAAATTAGATTAAAATTATTTCAAAACACATTTTAATATCATAGTTTTAATGAAGGCATGGAATATATCTAGGAATAGTGCATTTCTGACCCCCTGCTCCCTCTATCATAAAGTCTATTGGAAACTGTGGAAACAGAAAAATCCTATTTTTGCATTCGTGGGTGGCAGTGAAGCAGTGCTCTCAACCTTCTGATGCACCGCACACTTTTCAGTCCTAATGTTCTTCACAACATGCATTTTCATAAAAAGTGAAATGAATAAAACATATGGGGTTCAGTGAGACCTGATTCTTATTTTCGCTTGAGAGGCTGGCCATAACTTACCATGATATTGCTAACATTGAGTTATAGCTGAGAGAATAAAAGTCGTACACAAACATTTATGAAGCAACCCTCACAAGTTGGTTGGTTCTCCTTTGGGTAGCTTTGCAGTCCACAACCGAGACGCTATGCTAAATCCCCTAGCAGACACGCTAACTGCTCCCTCAAGTTCCTGGTAGAGTTAAATGTCACATGGAGCACTTCCTACTAACGCTCGCATAACTGTGTTCTCCCACTCCGTGGCCGTAACTCAATTTAAAATGTTATCAAATAGTTTAAATAAACCAGAAACACACTTGGGATTTTAACAAAGTTGGGGAGGAACATTCAGTGCTTCATAACATTAGAATTTGAGTTGATAATTATGGCCTGGTTTTGGATGTGACCCTTTCCTCTATCTTTGGTAGAGATGTTGGATCCAATATCTTTAGCTTCTCTCTTAGCTGGCTCATTTATTTTCCTGACCGCAGAGCCAACATTTGACTGTCATTTCACATGATGCTGATTGACTTAAATCAATATCTCACAAAGCAGTGCTGACACATCGCTTTCTCGATTCACAAACACCAAGGAGACCACTGAAACCTTTAGGCCCAAACACTGTGCTGATGAACGGAGTTGGAGGGGAGGAAGGTGTCACACCTGCAACCAAATGATTTATTGACTGAAATTATACTGTTTCTTAATGGATTCAGTATGATCATTTTCACTTCAGGATATACTCCCACGATAAAGAAATGTGCGACAGTTTAGCGGGGGACGTGGTATTTACTGCCGTATCAGTAAACTTTTGGGTTCAGTTGTTGGGTTTGCAGCCTCTTCAGACAGAACCAACAAATGTTTATTTTCAAAATGTTACGAAAGGGCTCCAGAGATTGAACGGATCCAGAGACCACACAAACACAAGGCTGGGGGATCATGAATAAATCCCTTTTTATGAAACACTTCGGATTCCAACTCCACATACTGACATACTGTTTAAGAGATGACAGTTCTGATGCAAGACTTGCTGTCTCTTTGTGGCTGTTCAGGAGATACCATTTCCTGAGAGTCACTTTTCCACAAATAGCACCGGTGGTCTGCTGATCCACAACGTTTATTGCCAGCAAGAGTCTATCCTGGGCTCAGCTGGTGGGCCATCCCACTTCAGATTGGCTGCCTCCTCGGCTGCCTCTTGTGTAACATGGATTACAGAGGTCAATTGGTCACCCTTCACTGAGGATGATAAGTGGGCTCTGGATGGTATGCTTCTAATTATGTCTCGTCTCCCCGAGACCTTGGCAGTGACCAAAAATAATGCAAGTTGCATCAGGTTTCATTGGCCGTGGAGAAAGTTGAATGTGTTCCATTGTGATAAATTGTCTCAGTTGCTGCCATCTAGCCACATGTCAGAAGTGCTGCAGGCATTCAGAACGGATTTGCCAGCCATGTGCTTCATGCTCAGTTTACACTGCTGGAAGCAATGGAATAGCGCTACCGGCAATATTAATCATAACTTTTTAGGCCCTAAGCAAACACTGGACTTGCTGGCCTGTAGATCTTGGTATTAGAGTTCTTATGTTTAACAGGTATCAGCCCGGCTCATGGTTATCAGCTGGTTCACAAGTGTCAGGCTGGCTCAGTTGGTTGCACCCTTACCTCTGCATCAGAGATTGCGATTCAAGTTAAATTTATAGTTTAGGCTGGCACTCCACTGTAATGCTGGGAAAGCACTGCATTGTTGGAGGAACTGATCTTCGGGTTATACTTTAAGTGAGATCCTGTCTACTTTTTCAGGTGGACAGTAAAATCCCATGGCAATATTCAATAAGAGAAAGTAGATTTTCCCGGTCTCATGCCCAGCAATCTCCAGATAAAATCGATCATTCATTTCATAGCTGTTTATGTTATTCATTTCAAACCCAACCCCCAGCTCGTGTCCAAATTCTTGACTGTTCAACTCCTTGGGATGTCCTCCTGATGCGAAAGGTGCTATGCAAATGTAATTTGTTGTTGTTGTTGTTTGTGGGTCATGGCTGCATGCAAGTTGGCTGCCACGTTTACCTACGTAGCACTACACTTTAACAGTAATATTTTGTGAAATGCTTTGAGACCTTTCAGGAATATAGTAAGCTACTGCATGAAATGCAAGGATTAACATTATGATAAAGTTGTCAGCTTTCTGCCAAATTACTTAGTAGCTAAAGACAGGTTTGGATCACACTTTTTAGCGATGGGATAATTATAACATTGAATGTAAATGATATATTACATGCATGAACCTTCAGTGCTTATTTGAAATTTGATCACAGCTGGAATTTTTAATACATATACTGTATATTCATCTGCTCGAGTGACCAGATGGACACCCAAGTTTATCCACTAGGATAGATTTCCAACTAGCCACTCAGCCATCAACCCTATTCTGAGATAACCTCATCCACTGGAGCTCCTTATTCTAGTTCCCTCCCACCTTATTCAATTTCTGGTTTGTGCAAATGGCAGCCTATGAATTGTGAATCTTAGATTGGCAAAACCTAAACAAAAGTGGTGACCAGATGAGAAGTGACTGACGATTTTATGCCTGAATCTTTTTTTCGATTTGGGATTTGCAAACTGCATGTTGCACAGCTTGTAGAAACACCAAATCCAGTTTGTGAATCTCTCGAAGTGAACCACCTTACAGAAAACAATTTCGTTTTCATAAACTTTTGTACGGCATCCTCCACATAGGATGGCATCTCACAGGGGAGTCCATAGATAGTGCAGATCAGTGAGCTAAGTATGAAGTGTTTGAAGATAATAACCACTGGCAAGGAGCTATATTTTTAGGAAGGTTTTAAGACAGGGAGAGAGTGAGAAGTGAAAGGATTCTAGAAGAAAGTTTCAGAGAGGAGAGATATTGTGGCTCAAAAGTTCCCAATTAAACCACTGTTATAAGCCTTTTCTCACTAAATAAACCTTCTGATTGAAGACTCCAAGGATCCCCAACCCACAAGCACAGGCTACATTTGCAATTTCCAGGCAGAGAAAAGCCGTGCATTAGCCACAGAGGGTAATTATTTGGCAAGCTTTTCATTTCCTGACGCATGTTAACAATGTATTGAAATAGATAATCCCGTTTTGGGGGAGACAGTGCAAATACAGTAATCTTTGCCTTTTGTTCACATTTATCAGTGGTATTGTCATTTGTTCTTGTGTAGACTGGGATTATCAATTCAGGAGAAGCTTTCTTCAGAAGTACATTATTCTGTAATTTGAGGAGATTCTAACTGCAGGACTATTTTCCAGAAAGTTTATTGCCGTATTCCACAATGTTTCCCTCGTTGCATATATTACATTTCCAGCTGCATTGGATTCTTGTGGGATAGAATAATAGTTTTCTTGTGGAATTCCCTGTCCATTCCCCACAGACATTTTGGCTGAAGGTGTGCATGAAGGTTTCGACCAAAGTATTTCTTACTTTGGATTAAGTTATGTCTCCAGTTATGCACTCAGCGAGAAAAAGAGAATTTTAAGCATTGAAATTGGAGAAGAAAAATACTTATTTAAAATGCACTGGATATTATTTCTCTGTCGAGCTGCAGTAATTACATTGACAAGTGTACTTAGTGACTTTCAGGCTGCTGTCAGAAATCTGCAAGGAATTTTCTATTTAAAAAGGTATCCAGCAGCCAATGTGGTATCAAAAATAAATGACCTCAACTTCTGTCAGTTATCTTTGAGAAGAGAGAGATTTTATCCACCAACAAGGGGCAGGCAGCAAGTTTAACAGATCCAAACTCTCCCGAGTTGCTGACATAGCCACAGCATCCTTACCTTACAGCAGCCTGTGTAAAGCCTGTGTAAAGAGTCAGAGCAGCAAAGGTAATGACTTCAACAAAAACATCTAGAGTATAATACAAGGAATAACAAATAGAAGGGAAAGATTTCAAGAGTGGAATCCAGAGGTGAGTTCAGGTAGTAGCTGGAAGCTATTCTCTTGCAGATTATGTCATCTGATCCTCACCCACCCCCACCCCCACCCCGTATTCCCCCCACTCCCGTCTTACCTCCCCGCTCCCCACCTCAATTAAATTTACCTCCTTGGAATATGTTCTCTGCTTATTCAATGTATATTTGATAAAGGAGTAAAGTGGTTGCACATGTAATGTGTAAGAAAGTATACAGCTGTCCCAGCTACCAGCAGTTTATACCCCCACAGCTAACTCTTTGGTCTTTCCTTGTATAATCTTGTGTGGGGGCATTGCTCTGAACAATGGTGCTGCTAATTCCATCACTGTCAGGAATTGCCCTTGTTCATATCGGGGTGCAGTGTCACTTGACTACAGATGTGTGTGTGTAGCTTTCCTTCTGAATGTCTTATCATTACTCTTTCCTCCATTCTCACTTGTCTCTCGCATCACTTTCTCTTTCCCTCTCCTCCTCTACTGCACTCACTCCTGCAACAAACAGAGACGAGGATTGTGAAGAAGGAGCAGAGGAAGAGCAACCAGTCACTGAACCTAATACCGAAGATGAGGGGGATGAAGAGCCCTCTTGTCAGGTCCAGAAAAGGTATTAGGAAACCAAATTTGCATTCTATATGACACTTAGCACTTGAATATATAGATGCAAGATCTATACAAATTATAACCATTTCCTTCTTAGATTGGGTCACTTTATTGCAGCTATGTTTGATAACATCTTTCCCAAACAAATTTGGTACTTAGTATTTCCTACCATTGTAGCCTTCCACACTAACATAGAAAGTAGATAGACCCGTAGCAAGCTTTCCATGTGCTTTACTCATGTATTGCTCTGGACAATGGTTCTACTAATTCCATCACTGAAGAGAACCAAATCCAGTTTGAAAGTAGTAGAGAGGACATGCTAACTGAGGGTTAGATTGAGCATCCATTAACCATTTCAAACTTCAGTTGGAAATTGATTAGCTGGTAAATGAAACAATTATATGTTTTAAGTGCCAATAATGCTCCTGTATCTTGAAAAGATTGTTTAAATATTTTTGGCTATTTGAATTTTCACACCTAATACTCTTATTCTTATCCTCCTATCCTATCCTCCCTTTTCTCTCCAGTGAGTTGAAGCCAGACACAGCAAACAAACGTGCAGAAATTAGTTCCCAGAGCTCAAAATATATAGCAAACTTTATCCCTCTTTCTGAAGAGAAAGGACCTTCTTCCCAGCATTACACGTATCCATCCACCAGTTCTTCCTCACTATCTCAATCACCCAGTTCACCTAGTGACTACCAGCATCCTTCATCATCATTCCTATCACCATCTGTTGCTACCCATCTATCTCCAAACAGTTCTCAACTTTCATCAGCAAACGCTACCCCAGCTGTGTCTCCAACCATTGAGAAGCTGCCATATGTTCCCCACTTGCCTTTCCACCTCTTCTCTTATGATCTGAGTGAACCTCCTACAAGGGTCAAAGAAAAAGAAGCAGAGATGAGAGAAAACAGGTAGATTGTGCGCCAGTGTGAGCCGCCTTATTCATTAACGTTTGCTTCTCTAAAGGAGAGTTATTATGAAATGTGCTGTTTTTCAATAGATTTCTTGCAATTTTATTAACCTTTGCTGCCTTCCTATAACAAAAGGACTATTTTTATTTTTCTCGACTGCTATTTTTAGTGATACTCACCTCAATTTACTTCTCCCCATTCTATTTAATAGCCATTGAGTGCTTACCCTCATCTTCCACAGATGGGAAGGAATGGGACGGAAGGGAACTTATGAATTTGGGGTTGATAAAGGGTTCTTCCCTAACAAATTCGGTACCTCTCTCACCCACCACTCATTCTCACCATTTTCTTCAAAGATGGACATAACCTTGTGTAAAAAAAAGTAGAGGCTGAATTGGAATGATCAGAGTTTACAGTGAATCTGAAGCATCCAGATCCAAAGCTTCCAACCCTTACCTCCACTGAGATAGTTGACCTTAATCATGGTAAAAGATGTGGCAAGACAAATTAGCCGCATTATGAGAGGAAGAGAAGCGAGAGATAAAAGTAATGATTCGGTACTAAAATGTCACTGGGTTACTTTATAATGTGTCACATAGGTTCATTCCTACATTTGTAGTAAGTTATTTACTACTCTTGTAGAATAGCTATGGTAATTTTTGAATGTTTCTTGTTATTCCTGCCTAATGTAGTGCAGTCAGGCAACTAAGAGAAAACCTGTCAGTTGAGCATGACAAAGATTATTCCACTTTCCTCAATTGTCTGCAGTCAACTCAGAGATGAAAGGGCAGATTTCCGTCCTGCCCCAAATGAGGTTATTTCAGATCAAGTAGAAACACTTCTGTGGAAAGGGAAATTGGTCAACGTGTGGTGTTTAACCATCTGTAAATTAACAGTAATATCAGCCGAGGGGTCTGTCGCTTGTCACTTTTTACTGATTCCCTCATGGTCATAGCTATGTCCAGACCAAAATTCTGCCATGGCTTGCACATCATGGTTCAACATGAAACTCAAATGGTTTTTAAATGTTTTTTCAAATGTTTTTTCTTCTGTATGACTGGCTTCAAAGTGAGTAATAAGTCAACTACACCAAACATGACATTTCTAATCTTTCTAACCTGATCATGAACTAACCTACTTAATGTCTGTTCAAGTAAAGCTGGCCAGTGAATTATAGCTCAATTGATCCAAGACTCATGCAAATGTCACAGGGGTCCAATGGAATTATTAAATAGCAACCAAACACAAATGATCATTTTCAATGAAACCTGCTTATTTTGTAACTGCAAGTGTTTACCCCTGTGGGAACTCAAAACTACAGCAAACTTAAACCGAGTGCTTAAACTGCTAACCTACCAAAACTTCTCCTTTTTTCAAAGCAGAGTTGGCAGTTTTCACATTTCGGCATAGCCTGTTTGGCAAGACTTCAACAAACAGCATCAACCCAAAACAGCCTCATTAAATGCTTTCTCTAGAAACCTCATCCCAGCCAATGTAAATGATTTAACTGCCAGTTATAAAAGGAACAAACTACTGCAGTATTATCAATAAATGAGGACCACCTCCCCAGGGCAGTGCTAAAAGTTTTGATTTGTGATGGTTGTTAACACTTGATTTGAGAAAGTGTTGCATTTTTAATTGGGTAACTTTCAGACTCTATCCTGGTGCAGTGCTCAATGTAAACTACACACAGTGTTTTTAAACCATCATGTCATTGCTATGAAAGTCTGGTTGGGTTATTGTGCCTCTGATTTGACTGTAATGTCCGAAATAAGTTCATTATCAGAGTTCCAAGTTTAGGTATCTCATAAGACAGCTAGTCATTTCGTTCAGTCTTTCTATTTCAACCGTTTCCATTCCTCTAAATGTGGACTGAGGGGTCTTATTGATTTCAATTGGCATGTCTTTAACATGTCCCTGTTTTGAGACTTTCAACATTGGTGGATGGAGTCACCTTCTGTATGACTGGCTTCAAAGTGAGTAATAAGTCAACTACACCAAACATGACATTTCTAATCTTTCTAACCTGATCATGAACTAACCTACTTAATGTCTGTCATCATTTCTCCTCTTGCTAACCTAGTCTTGACTTTTCCTGTCACTTTCGTAAACTCTAGCCTTACTGTAGTCTTCAGAGGCCTGAAATCCCCATGGTCTCTGTCTTAAGACTATTATTACTATTATTATTATAGAAGCTTTTTTTTATTTTTGCAGAATTTGGAAAACATTTAAATGTTATTTGCAAGCCAGTTTTCTTGAAAAGAAGTGCTGACAATTTGCTTCCACAAAAGGCTGTATCTTCCAAAGTTTTGCAGCAATGGTTTTGAGATATATTAGCTCTCAGAAGACATTGTGGGTCAGAGAACTAACTGCTCATCCCTTCATATGCTGAACGAATGTGAGTGGAGTTAGATCAAGTGTTGGTTTTCTGCTGTGGTGGGACGGAGCCACACTTGCAATTCCACTAAGAGTTAATTAACCTCATCTCTCACCCATCACTGTGGAGTTTGTAAAGTCAGGAACTGTTCAGGCTTGAATGGCTCATAACATTATGTGAAACAAGAGAAGAGAGTTTACCACCATCCAAATGGGGTCTCAGATTTGAATTTCATTCTCTTCCTTCTATTCCACTTGTCTTTATTCAATTCTGTCTTCTCTTTATTTGTTTCTGTTTACAGTCAGTCAGAATCTTCATACATGAACAAATATAATGACACCTTTGAACCTTATACTTCCAGGTTTTCTTCCAATAGGTAGGTCTATCTCTTTTCTCACTGTCTTTGTCAGAAATAACTCAATTTGTAGATGTACATTTGTGGGTTCAGCTCTTGGATTCATTGTTCATCAGTAAAACACAGTGTATAGATTTTTGGTGGCTAATCAGATGAATCGAAATAATCTTTTCTGGTGCTGCTCCTACATTTCTATTGCTCTCCTATAGCGAGGCCTGTACTTTACTTTCTGAATGGCCACTCGGACGAAGTTCTGAAGGGCATGCGTTGTCTGTGTTACTTTATGAACCATGAGAGGAGGAAAGAAAACATGCATAAAACGCTGCTATTTGATATTCCTGCCTTGTTGTTATTATATTGGTAAAAACACTCTTGACATTTTGAAAAACATAATGATCAGATTGACATTCTAATTCATTTATACAACTCCAAAATCACATTCATGAGTTGCTGAGGAGAGCGCACTTAGTTGTACAAGTGCAGAGCTCTGCTAACCAGCGTAGGATGTGTGTTTTATTTTGTGTGTGTCATTAATCAACTGGTCAGGTTTTGTATTAACATTCCAATGCGCTGCTGGATTGGAAATTTCCTCAGTGGATACTAACCTGATTTGCATGGTCTGTATTTATGTTGCATTGGAATGGAGTCCTGCAGCTCAGAGATTAGAGCCCTCTCCTCGTAAGCGAGAAACTTGGGTTCGATTCCCAGCAGGGTGAAATGTTGGGCAAGTTTCCTTACTCCACACGCCTCTGTTTACCAACAGTAAGCAGGAACCCAGTTGTTAGTCAACTGGCAGATCGCATTTCTGTGGGTAATAATTCCATTNAAAAAAAATTGGTCACTCAATCTGTGAGACACTGCTGTGTGCAATTGGCTGCCACATTTCTTCCCCAAAATATATAGTTAATTCACTTTACAGTATATTCTGTAAAGGGCTTTGAGATGTCTCAAAGACATGATAAGGCGCTTTATCAAATGCAGGGACGATTATTACTATTGTGATTTTGGCAATCCAACACGATTTACTGTGTAGGTTTGATGCTTGCTTGTCAAGTTGATATGATAAGTGTGCTATGGTTAGGATGTAAGATGGTGACATCAGAGGAGTCACTGGATAGCTGCCAAGGAAGGGAACCCTGGCTGTTGTTTCTTGCCCTCCAAAATCAAATGCACTAAAGCCGATTGTGACATCCCACAGCTCTCCTGCCTGAAATCAGATAACTCAGCACAGACCAGATGCTGTGGGTGTTGTGGATAACAATAACAACAACAACAACAACAACAACAACTTGCACTTATATAGTGCCCTCCACGCAGGGTAGCATCTCAGAGAGCTTAACAGTGGCAGAGGCTGACTCCGAGCTGTGGGGAGGGGACAGGTGGCCGTAAGCACAGTTGAAGAGGAAAATTTTCAGGTGGGACTTGAAAGAGGGGAGGCAGGGGCCAAGGCAGAGGGTTTGAGGGAGAGTGTTCCAGAGTTTTGGGGTGTAGTGGCTGAAAGCGCGACCTCCGATAGTGGGGCAGATGGTGTGAGGGACGAGCAGGAGGCCAGTGCCAGTCGAACTGAGGCACTGGGTGGTGGAATAGGGAGTGAGGAGGTCTGTGGATGGCATATATGAATGGTCAATTTAATATCAGCAGAGATAGTCTTTAACCCAAGGAAATAGTACTTAACAATGCACTCCTGAATATAGAATTTACCCCTCACAGGAATCATAGAGACCCGAGAATGCTGAAAGAGGAGCTAAAGTGAAAAGCATTCCCTCCAGCTGGCAAGAGAACAAAGGCTGCTGTGTTGCAATTCGATTTCCATAATGCTTTGTGGTTAGCAACGTAAATTAAATGTAAAGTTTTCAGAACTTTGACTAAGTTCTGAGGATTTTAGCAGAGAATAAGAAAATAGCCCAAGGCACCACAGCTGAGAGCATTATGCAAATATGAGACAGTCAGAACAGCTCAAATGTATTCATTGGCCTGAACCCCAGATAGTACAATGAAAAGAAAAAGAGAAATCAATTTCAAGACGAGCTAGAAAAAAAAATACCCGATAGAAGACGGGAGAAAGGCACATCAGAGTACAAAACAAACTTTGGATGCGCAATTATTTCTGCTGACTTACTAACAGAAACCGATGGATCTTTTGTGCAGGAATCTCGTGAATGAGGCAATGCTGGGCTGAATTGGATCCATTATAACACTCGGTCTTTATTTAACGCAGGCCGTTATTCTGTAATCACAGTGGCTCCCACACAAGGCATAAGAATGCGAATTGAGTCTTTCTAAGCAAATTTTTTAAGTTGTTTGAACAGAATGTACTTCAAGTATATTCTATAATTATCATTATCTACAAGGGGATGCATTCATACAGAAGATTGAACTCAAGCCCAGCTTTTTAGCAGACTCAGCCCTTTCGGAACTCAAATATTTTTGCCATAATTGCGCCTGGGAGAAAAACATCCAAAATTGCAGTTATATTTTAATAAAAGCACTTATACAATAGTGGTGTCAAAATAAAAAACAAAACATTATTTGATCCTGTGACAACAACAACAAGTTACATTTGTATAGCACCTTTCACATCGGGAGGACGACCCAAAGAGCTGGACAGTCAGGGATTTGGACCCGAGCTGGGTGGCGGGGAAGGCAGGGGGACAAAGGGGTAGGAGGGTGTCCAAATGCACGGTTGAAGAGGAGGGTCTTGAGACATGCTTTGAAGGAGGCAAGGGAGGGAGCGAGACAAAGGGACTGTGGGATGGAGTTCCAAAGGGTGGGGGCAGAGAAGCTGAAGGCCTGACCCCCGATGGTGGGGCGGTCTGGGCGGGGGACGTGGAGCATGTGGAATGCAGGGAACAGGACAGGTTGATATGGCGTTAGCAGGTAGGACGGATCAAGGCCATGGAGGGCCTTGAAGATGAGGAAGAGGATTTTGAACTCTATCCTATGGGGTATGAGGAACCAGTGGAGCTGGCTGAGGATGGGGGTAATAAGCTCACTTTTCACGTTCAGTTCTCTCTCATTCCCCCTGTACTCTCCATTCATCACATGCCAATACCCATCCAGAGAGGATGTTAGACTTGCTCTGTAGTCAGACAGGCTGCTCCTGTTATTTGACTGCTCGGAGTTGTGCAGCCATCGCCATAGGCAGCATATCCTCATTTTACTCTAATGTGTATGGCTTACACCGATGACTGATCAGAGACTGGAGACTAGGGAGCCATGGGACTGTACTCAGGTACTGGCACTCCATAGTGCTGCACTTTGGGGCATCATTGACTGAGGCATCTTAATTTATCCAGAGATCCTTAACATAACTTGCATTTATTTGGCTCCTTTAATGGGATAATGTCTCAAGCACTTCACAATGGAGGGAGGGGAGGTGACCATAAATGCAGTCAATTAGGTAGGTTTTTACGTTAGATTTAAAGGCAGAGACAAAGCAAGGTGGAGAGGCAGAAGGAGGGAGTTCCAGAGGTTAAAGGCGTAGCAACTGCCTTAAATAGATAGAATCCCATAAACACTGATGGATCATGTTTGTCCATTGAGTAACTGAGTCATGGACACCAGAAGGGTTGTAGGTTTGACTGGTCTGTGCTGCGTTATCTGTTCTTAGGTGGAGATGCCGTGGTTTTAGAGTGTGGAAGAGGAAAAACAGTCAGAGTTCCCATTTCTATTAGCTATCCAGTGATTTCTGATGGAGTCAGTGTGGATTCCTATGGTCAAGCTTTGACTTTGATGCCTTTCGTGGTCAAATCGTCTGTTGACACTCAAGGCTGAAGCTCACTCGCGAATAATGATAACTTGAGCAACGTGGGTGGCCGATGCAGAAAAATCTGTATTCAAGTAGAAGGAAAAAAAATGCAAACTCAGTCAGGAGAGGAGAGAAGTAAATTAGTAGAGAAAATTGGCCAGAAAAAGTAGATTCATTAAAAAGACAATAAGGGATATTGTCCATTTTTCACATGAAGGCTTCTTAATTAATAAGACTGTGAAATGATTAGAAATGGAGCTAACGCACGCGTTCTCCCTTTTTCACACACCATTTCATCTCATTGAAAATTATAAAGGAACATGACCTTATCCATTGTACTCTCTCAATCAAGAATTGCAAGAAAATTAAAGTTTTTATTTTATAAAGTTGGAGTGAAAGATATGATGTTTCATGACAGATTTGATAATTATAACACTGAAACAGTTAGAAAACAGCGGAACTACAGTCAATCGTTATGGACTGTTTGTGGGTACTTTTGAAACAAAAACTGATTTCAGCCCAAAAGTTTGGTCTGATGCGTCTTGTCAGAATTGTTCAGCCCCCTTCTTGAATACCCATTCAGCAAGAGAAAACAATGCGTTTTATCGAGTCTGAAGACAGAGTCTGAATGTTGATTCACAGGATACCAATTGAATAACCTTATGTTTTTAGTTGCACAAAATGTAATTCTCTGTGAATGGGACAATGGAAATCTTCAGGCCCAAACATTGTGTTAAAAGTCAGGGGGTGTTCATATCAGAAACCAATGGATAATTATCGACTGAAAATTCTGCTGTTTATCCTGTGTATCCTGTGTGTATTGTAAGTGATCGCAGCAGCCAGAAGGCATAACCGGGGGGATTGTTGGTCATGACACCAGGAACAACTCTTTTCAAACATTGCCACCCACTGAAACTGTCCGCCGGGACCTTGGTTTAGGGTCTCATCTGAAGCACGGCACCTCTGACAATGTAGCGCTGTCTCAGCATTGCACCCAAGTGTCAGCCGAGACTATGAGCTCAAAAGTTATTTATCAATGCATTTTCCAAACAATTAAATCTTTGTCATTAATCACCAAAGTAATGAACTAGTGAGACTTCAACTTCTTCCTCCTTATTCCCAAAGTAAAATGTTTCTTGCAGAAGATAAAATTGCAACCAGCCTCACCCGCTGCCCATGGTATGACAAGTCCTTATTAAAATCACAGCATAGTCAGAAACAGTCAGATATGAACAGGGCAGCTTGTCTGATAAGAGATTAGCTTCCTCTCCAG